TCTTCACTTCGTTTAAATTTGCAGTATTTCGACAAACAGCTCGATGTCAACTCAATGTAAGATCATACTGTTACTTACTTCTCCATGTTTTAGCTCGAGAAAAAATGATTGATTTCTTAATCTCGGTCTCAGTAGGTTCTCAGCATGTTCTTTGCTTCGCGGTCAATTTTAGCGTGGACCTTCATGAAACATGTCCTCATAACAAAAGAGTGAGGGTGGTGTGAAGTTAAGAAAATAAACAGGCAATAAAAGTTTTCAAATACCTTACCAGTCCTTGGTCTCCTCAGTGTATCTCTAGGCTGACAACAAATCTGCTGATCTCTCGGCTGATTGTGGAACAAATGCAGGTCTCTCTTTTAAGGCAAACCGATAACATCCCATAAAAACTTTTATAAATATAAAACGTTGCGCAACACGGTAAGAGTCACGTCCGCTTTTCTTGTAGTGAGCTGGGGCTACCTGTGCACAAAAGCGCGGTTTTATTACACTCAAGCTATGGGTCAACCGTTGAGTTATTGTCAGTTAGTGATTCGTTCTCATTGAAATTAAAGTCTTGAAAGGCGGAAGCAGTGATATTCAAATATTTACAGTGCATCGCGTGATCTCTCAAACATTTTGAAGCAACTATAATTAGGAGTTGAAGATAAAGAAAGAGTGAGTAGACGGGTATGAGAGAGCTATCGCGTGATATTCCATGATACTTTCCTGTGCATTTACCGGAAATGCGTCAAACGATGATTTCCTACTTCTACTTGCTTCAGTTCGTTTGTTTATTTTTTGTTCATTTCTTCAATTAGCTATTCTGAGGGGAGCTGGCTCGAGTCCATTTCAACTCCTGCGCTTAAGTTCTGAGACTGTTTCAGTGGCAATGCTGCAGGAAGAACAGTCTCTGGGCAAGTGTGATGTCATTTTGATGAGGAGCGGATTTTTTAATAAACAAATGAACATGAAGCGAGAAAGGGGCGGGCAATCATTGTTTATCGCATTTCCGGTAAAAGTTTGGTAAATCACAAAAGAACAGGAAGTTAGTATGGAATATGACGCGATAACTCTCTCCTACCCATCTCCTTACTCTCAGTATTTATCTTCAATTCTCAGTTGTAGTTGCTTCAAAATGGTTGAGCCAAATCATGCGAGATCACGAAGGCGCGCTATAAAAGGAGCCTAGGTCACACTGGACCATTTGTCAATCAACCTTCGTGTGATGTAGAACTCTTAGAGTCAAGTCAGCTTGAGCTACAGCTACTCCAAAGCAGTGAGCAGCGGGCGCATTCCTCAAAATTGTTTTATATCTTCATCCCAATACAAGAATTTTTGAGATTTCTATTTCCTCTCTCCAATGGAAACTGTCTTTATTTGTGGCGGTAAATTTGAGATCGAAGTAGGTGGTTCGCACGTTACCTCATGCCACCATGCTGGTGGAAGTAAACAATAGATATCTCATTAGCTCCTTTTGTTCGTCTGCCAGCATTTAAATTTAACCCGCACACGTCAACGGTTAGTGACAAATTAGCCTAGGTCTTCCCAGGGTAGACTTCCTTATATAGCACGCCTTCGTGTTTAACATTTACCAAATCACTGGTTTTAATATCTGTTGACATCAAAATCAAATTGTCCCAACAGTATGAATACATATGAAAACCTCACTTTCATTTACGACTGGTGACAGAAAAAGAACTCTGAAATTGTATAAAACCGTAATTAGCCCAAATGGCCGCCATATTGAAATGAACGCACGGACAGATAGTTGCCATAGCAGTCCATCTACATCATCTGTTAGACACTAAAATATTTTCTCATATTTCTTTCTTGTGTCCAAGGTTGAAAGGAAAGTGTCAGCGCTGTATTGGCTAATGTGAGTAATGTGAATAATCGAAAGCTTCGTGTCTCTACAACCTGCACATTGTAACAATATGCACAACACTTAGTTTGGTTTCATTGGCTGCTAAGACAATATTTACTTCTTTTTTCGAGCATTTATTCCATACCAGATTAATGAAAATTGATTTCTAAACACTAATTGATTTGAATCTTAGCGCAAGGAAACCTTGACACAGCCACATAAACATTTTGAGTAAACTGAATCAGAGTGTTAAGAATCCTCGAATGGCTAATCTTTGGAAGAAAACTATGGAAACGAAAAAAAATAAATTTCATGTGAATTGTTCAACATTTCCGCCTGTTGGCGAGATAAAGAAAGATAAAACGACAGATAAAGAAAGCATCAACGATTTTGATAGTTAATTCTTAATTATGTAAAATATGGGCAATTTGAACAGCGTTTCCTTACTTGAAATGTCCTCGAAACATAATTGTGTAGTTTTTGATAATTCTTTTTTTTGCATTTCAGATCAAAGCTATAACGAGAATAGTATGTGAGATCTTATATTTTTTTGTATTCTTTTATTCGGGTAGTAGAAAAACAAAATGCATTAGCTGAAAGGTTGTGTGACGAAGATAGAACGTAACGAAACCTTCAGTTGAACTCTGGTGTTGGTCAACTATTGGGAACAGTATTTTCAATCAGTTTAAAACACTTGTACTCTTTATCTCAGTGCAACTTGTCATATTTATGATTACAGCCAAGAATGTGGTAACAGATGGTGACAATACTAACAGAAGTTCTCGACCAAATTTAAAATACATGTAATATTTCGTAGTCCTTTTCGTACGTTTGTTTCGGCAGTGTAAAATTATATTAAGTTCTTTTCCTTGCATTTCGTATGATATTTTCAACACAAAAGTAAACACTGCTTGCGAAAGCGTAAACCCAACTTGATCAAAAAGAAAGTGTTTCGGAATCGGATCGATCTTAAAAACATGTTCTTCACAATCTGACTCGCTTATCGCATTCACCTGTAACTTTTTTGCATTGTTTAGAACTGATTTAAAAGGTAGGCTTCTCGTCGTTTCGTGATTTTCTTGGCATCGTAACCTACAAGATCCTGGTCAAGTCTTGATATTGTTTAGAAAAAAATATCATAGAATCAAGAGCCAGCTCCTCATTGTCGGGAAAATTCGTAAGAACAACTCGACCAAATGATGACGAAGGGCTAACGCTCGAAACGTCAGCTTTTGCAATTTACCATTTCAACTTTGTTGATATATCCAAATTATTTCGTTACTCCCACCGACGTAGCCCCAAACAGTTTCTTTCGAAACTATCAGCCTTTATTCAAATGATGTTTACACTGCCCTTTGATTTTTTTTTTACGGATGAAATTGAGATAGAATTCGAATTAGCGATACTTGAACTATATTTCAAAACATCAACCACCATATTGCACCTTTTAGATTTGTCAGTTGTTAATTTTAGAACCAACTCTATACGCGATAACAATCTGATGATGATGAGAAAGTGAACTAAGTGTTCTGGCTTACAACATTCCGAGTATCAGAAAAAGTAACAAGTTTAGGCGACAGGTTTAATTGTGTTCGAAACGCAAAATTCTACCATCTCAAGAGTTCCTAAAGGCTCTGGAGTTAAAGGTTAAGTTGAAACTTTGATGTAAAGTTAACCGGCAGAAAAAGAAAGGCAGTCAGAGCACTTTGCAATTTGACGTTTAGTCCTTCGTCACCAAGATTCTTCGATTTTCGCTATTACATAGTTTAACATCAGAGTACAATGTTATAATTACACAATGAGAAAACAAATCAATATACAAAATGAAATAAACAAACTAACAAGCCGTTCCATTCTGGCATTATTTGCCATTGAGAAACTCTGCTTTTATTGATTCACGAGTTGAAGAAGTCATGGCAATATTTTTTTACTTGCACTGACCACAGTTCAACACTGCTTGAGTTAATTCTGATTGATTTCATTTGCAAAGATCTGACTAATTTTCTGCCTGGAGTTATTAAATCCACTCAAGGGAAATTCTATCTTCGCGTCTTTCTTCGGTAGCTTCAGGACAAGAATCATCTCAAAGCCAGGGATGCCGACGTTCGTTGTTGATTTTCCAGGTTTCAAGGGTCGGGTCCCATCCTTATCAGTAATCATCACTGTATACTTGGTGTCGTTTTCGAAAGTGCACCATTTCTGTTCTTCTCTGGTTTCGGATTTGTCACGATCAACCTGGGAATCAGCCTAGCAGAACACAAAATAAACTGTTACCTTTTCTACGTGGACCAAAAGAGCCGATTTGCTGCCGGAATGGTACGTTCCGTATACAGCCACAAGCCCTTTACATCAGTAATATGTTCAGCCTCTTCCGGGCTATGAATCAGCGGACAATAGCTACGTCACATAAGCAAGTGGCTCCTATAAGCAGTTGTCAAGATATGGCAGCAATAATCCGGCAGACTCGATTGCCATTCTTTGTTAGCTCGCTCTTTCCAATTTAAGAATTTCTGAAAAGGTTATCCCCCACCCACGCTTTCGTATACCTGGGGTTCATCTTGAAATGGTTGACCGAAGATGATAGACCTTTAGCATCTGCCAAGACCCATTTTATCTTCCATATTCTATAAAAAAAAAAAAAAAACAAAATGAACTATTGAGATCTTTACCGTGACTTTGACTAGAACGGCTGATCTTGGCGCTGGAGTGGTTTGCTCTCTGGGCAGCTACAGGCCCTAGCTCATACGCATATTAGCCTTTCCCGGGCTCCCGCTCTCAAGGGGAGGTAAAACAATAATAGAAATTTTGCACAGATTTCATGATCACATGATTTCGATTACGATTTGCAATTATAAAGCGCGTGTAGTTTCATTTTTCCAAAGATCAACATAATTGCACGAGGCCTTAGGGCGTAAAAATTGCATTCCGAGAAAAAATATTAAAGCCGCTTTTCATATCAGAGTACATTGTTATAATTACACAATGAGAAAACAAATCAATATACAAAATGAAATAAACAAACTAACAAGCCGTTCCATTTCATGCAGAATCAAAGCACGCGAATCACGCGCTGAACTAACTTTCTGCAGTGAATGAATTCCCTTCTGCATTCTGTTACCGGGAAACTCAAGATACGCTTTCCTGATTATTGAAAAGAACGACTAATGTTGCAGCTGAACTAACTTTCTGCAGTGAATGAATTCCCTTCTGCATTCTGTTACCGGGAAACTCAAGATACGCTTTCCTGATTATTGAAAAGAACGACTAATGTTGCAGCTGAACTAACTTTCTGCAGTGAATGAATTCCCTTCTGCATTCTGTTACCGGGAAACTCAAGATACGCTTTCCTGATTATTGAAAAGAACGACTAATGTTGCAGCTGAACTAACTTTCTGCAGTGAATGAATTCCCTTCTGCATTCTGTTACCGGGAAACTCAAGATACGCTTTCCTGATTATTGAAAAGAACGACTAATGTTGTAACTGAGGTTGAAATTCCCGTATACCGAGTCTTTTCTATTCTATGTTCCTCAAACGTTGTATTAGTTTTCTCCACGAATCTACCGTATTACTTTGATTTGCAAACTGATTTGAGACCGACGAAAAGACAACAGTCTATTATACAGTTGTGTACTTGGTTGCTAAGCTTTTTAACGGGAGTGAGGCTAGGGGTGACCTTCTTGTGATACAAATCTTGCTCCCTTTTGAATGTAAATCACTTTGTTATCATGCTAATTAGATACAGGTCTCTAACACAACAAGGTCACCTTCAGCCTCACTCTGCATCAAAGGCTTGGCAACTAAGTACACAACTGTAAAATGGCCTATTGCCAAAGTGGAAGCTGAGGCTAAAATTAAAGTACCGTACGTATCTTTACTTTGTTATGTCCCTCAATCGTTGTACATTTGCTTTGGCGACGAATTTATCTTACTGCACCATGCTCTTGAAAAATTAAAAACGACAACTCATGGATAATCGCCTGACCCCTTCACTTTAATTAAATTTCAAGTTAAATTTGCTATATTTCGACAAACAGCTCTGTCAACTCGATGTAAGATCATACTGTTACTTATTTCTCTCTGTTTTGACTCGATGCAAACGAGTAAAAATGCTTGATCTCTTAATCTCCGTCTAAGTAGATTCTCAGCATGTTCTTTACTTCGCGGTCAATTTTTGCATCGACGCTCATGAAATATGTCTTCATAAAAAAGAGTGGAGGGTAAACAAACACGCAACAAATTTATCAAATATCTTACCAGTTCTTGATCTCTTCAGAGTACATCCACTGACAACAACTCTGCTGATTAATTGTAGAGCAAGTGCATGTTTATATATTATCTTCGTTAAAGTATATTCCTGATTCTGTTGAACACCGGAACTCAAACCAACCAGCCGTGAAACAAACATCGACCTACTGCCCAGAGCGGTTTTGTCGTACTCCTACATTACTCCTCCAATAGATGTTAGAATTAATGTTAAAAGATGAAGAAAGCAAGGAGTTGAGATGAATAGGGAGAAGGCAAGTAAATAACATTTTGTTGGTATCACGCTGATGCTGATACATGACGCAATGAAAAAAAAAACTGTTGCTATCAATCGATCATTGTGTTGTTGTCGGTTTTGGACTCGATCTTAGAACGACTAAGTTCTTGAAAGACGGAAAAAACTACGATATTGGCATACTTTCTCATTCATGGCAGATCGTATGATTTCGCACAATTTAACTCGACCATATTTTTAATGGCTACAATGAGTGTTAGAATGTTGGAAGATTAAGAAAGAGGAAGGAGTTGAAGGAGGGCTTGAGCTGGATATGGAGAAGGCGACAAAGAAAATTTTATTGGTATCGCGCAAATACTGATACAAAAATAACCAACTGTAAATGCAATATTAAACAGAGAGTGTTTCTTTGAATTAGCCACCACATCACATCCTGTTCATTTCTGATTAACCCTGACAAGAAGCAATGACCGTTTTTGAAGGAACAACGCGGACGATTTTTTTTTTTCCGGGCCCGGCAAACTGGCACATTTGATCATTAACAATAGAAAATTCAGAATTGTTTTCGATAAGTTTAGTTGACCGCTGTAATAAAATTTTACAATCTGGTGAACACCGGAACTCAGACTTGACCAACCAGCCGTGAAAAAAGAAAAAAGAACGTCTACATACCGCACAAAAGCGGTTTTATTAAACTCAAGCTATCAGTCAACCGTTACGTTAGCAGCGGTTTGTGAATCGTTCTTACTATGATTAAAGTCTTGCAAGGCGAAAGCAGTGACATTCAGATAATTTCTGAATTTAAAACAGTGCATCGCGTGATCTCTCACGATTTGACGCAACCACTTTCAAGCAGCTACAACTGAGAATGTGATTTACCAAAATTTACCGGAAATGCGATAAACAATGATTATATGGCCCCTTCTTGCTTCAGTGTCATTTGTTTATTCATTATTCATTTATTCAATTATCTATTCTGAAGAAGGCTGGCTCGCATCCATTTAAACTCCTACGTACGTTCTGAGACCGTTTCAGTAGCAATGTTGCAGCAAGAACAGTATCCTGGTAAGTGTAATATCATGTTGATGGAGAGCGGAAGTATTTTTCACGCTTGACTGGTTCAGTCCATGTTCCGCACTCGAGGAATGAGGAACCAAGTACAGAGACAAAAGTGAACATAATAAAGCGGCTTCCATTTTCCATTTGCTTTTGAGTTTATTGCCGGCTTACATTTGACGTAATCTACCGAACTCCAAAGCCTAAGTTCCAAGACGGTATCGAGGGGGCGTTTAGCAATTCAGATTATTATTTTTTCGACGACGGAGGCGACCGCTACTTACGCTTGAAGTGTCGCATTTTGGAGGGCAGCCGTCCTCTCAACGCGCGGAAGTGAAAGCAGCGAACTGCGCGTTGTCTATGAAACGTAAGTACATTATTTTGTTTGACGCATTCATTACATACCATTTCTTTCACTTTTCGCCTCGGGAAGCTTCGTTACTAGCTAAACAATACATAATTAGAATTAACGTAGCTATTTCGATTATTCAGTAATGTGGTAAATGTTCGTCTTATTTCTCCGTTCTGAGGCATGGCTGCGAACACAAGCACAAAACGAAGGCAAACAGTAAGTTCATTCCCAAGTTTAGTTACGTAAAATCCAGTAAAAAAAACAGAGATAACTCATATTTGGATCAAGGATGTCCCTATTGCAATCTGTTTTTAGGTGACCGTGGCTTTCGTAGACGTAGTCCAAGGTGTGATTTTTTAATAAGGCTTAAAACAGATACCGGTCTACCAAACCAAGGCAGCATACCACTGCGCCTGCACGGGTGAGAAACTCTTCTTAATTATAGTTCTAGTTTCAATTCTAGTTATTGACAGCTTTGTAAATAAATGTGATATTGAAATTCTTCTGTAACTATTAAATTGTGAATTTCTTGCTTTTAACGTTTTGTGGCAAATAAATAAATAAAAAGGAACATTTTACAAGTGAAAAGGTTCTTTCTGCTGTAGCTGAAGGTGGCTGGCATAAATCTAAACGTCTAGTCTATTTTGTCTAGCTTTGAATATCTCTTTCCTATCTCCTCCACCATTTCACGGCAGTCAATCAGCAAATTCTCTCCAACTTCGTGTCTTCGTTGGTCCCTGAAACTTAGCATTAGAGCGATCTCTCGATCTTTCTTAGCGTATGTGATATGTATTTTTATAGGCTGATGAATTGATCGTGTCTAAATAAAGATTACAATACAATACAATACAATACAATTTCTTTTCTTTTCTTCAAGTCGCTGATGACCAGTTTCGGCAGAATTTACCTAAGCCTACTCCGAAAGACATAGATGTTGACAAATCATAATTTCCTTGACAATGGAAGTCGTACATTCCACATCAAAACAGTTTAATTCCACTTACTGCTCAACTTGACTTCTATTTCCCTGGTCAGTGTGACTCGACAATAACGTCGGACATCTCGAACGCATATTTCTATCGACGATATGTGTAAACGTGCTAACGAAGTATCGCGACATGTGTACCTCCCATCCCGAAAAAACGCTATAAAGTAAACGGAGAAATGAAAGTGGAAGGACTGCAATAGCAAAACGTTTTTTTCTGCTGCTGAAAGCGAGCCTGAAAATTGAGAGGAAATGGTTTTTTGAACGAAGATCTTGTATAATATTATATAGAGCTGTCTACTGAGCCGACAGTTCATCGGTTCTACTTGAGGATATCAATAAAGTTAAAAAGTGTTTAAGCTGAGCGCGGGAGATTTGTATTTTTCTTATCTTAATTTTTACTCTTTAAATTTTGGAGAGAAACCTTGAGGGGGATTCTTAACCTTACAGCTACAGAACCACATTTACATTATTTATGGGGTGAAAAATATGCATTTCTATCACTTCAGCCTCTTCGGTGGTTTTACGAAGTAGCAGTTGACCAAATGCTACTCGAAACTGTTTGCTCCTCGATGCAAGGATATTAAAAGATCTAAGGATATTAAAAGATCTCAGTACCGTGGATGTTAAAGTATCACCCAAGCAATAGCAGAGGCAATAACGATCTTAGCGCCAGTGATATGATTGTCGTAACGCGTACGTGTTTTATCGCAAAACAACGTCTCAAGCTTATCAACACCTAATAAAGCAGGGACGCACCAATAAGAACATCGAACAGGTTTTCCACGATACTGTTGATGTTACATACATCGATCACATTTTTCGCACGAATTCCACGAAGGAGATAGATCTCAGTTGTAGCCATGAGGGGTTGAAGAGCGACACCGAATGCGAAGTTAGTTACCGTTAACATCCTTTGAGAAATGCGAGTGCATTAATAAGCATAACTCGAGTTAATATTTACAAAGCCAACGTAGTTATTTACAAAGCCAACGTTGACAACCAGTTTTGCTAAACAGCAATTTTCACATTTTCACAACCAGGAAAAACTTTAAATTGAAAATGCTAATAAGTTGGAAATGCACGCTAAAAAAATTACGATCTTAAGAATTAAAATTAAAAATCAAACAGTTGTCGAGGTTGTCAAACTATTCTTTTTCTTTTCACATTAATTTTCGGACAGAATTTTGAGGGTAATTCCTGTAAGTATCGCTTTGTAGTATTCTACTTTTTCCCGTTTGCTTTGTTTTTTGTTTCTTACTTTTCTTTCATCAACCAGTGAAGCTGATTCAGTTGAAACAGGTGATTAACATCTTTTATTCAAAATGAATTTATGTACTCACCGCCAAGTTTTGCGAGAAAATAGCATGTGTTTTTTCCGGCGCGACTGGTTGACTTAGTCTCACGACCTCCGCAAGTTCTTTGTTTATTGTCTGACTTCTGATAGACAAGATGTTTAGTTAAAATTGTTATTTCGATTAACTTTCCGTTGCACATTATAACTCACCAGCATGGTAAAAAAAGCTTAGATCTGGATAAAATGCAGATAAATAACTGATAACGTTACTAGCAATTCAATGGAGGGGGCCATGCTTTACTAGGTGTTATTATTTTTCCAAAACACAGTTGAATTGTAGGGATAAAGAATCGTATTCATATCTAGGTTGAGACGTCTTTTGCCCTCTTAGCGGAAACTCGCGAAAATTTTTGATGGAGGAAATAACTTTCTTCATGCTTTAATGTTGTAAAGGGC